ATCTCATGGAAAAGCAAGAAACAACACACAGTCTCTCGCTCTTCTGCCGAAGCCGAATATCGCTCCATGGCAGCAGCAACATGTGAACTCAAATGGTTAAAAGTTTTACTTCTAAGCTTAGGCGTGCACCATCCTAAAGCTATGTCTCTTTTCTATGATAGTCAATCTGCACTTCACTTGGCGAAAAACTCTGTCTTTCATGAACGCACTAAGCATATTGAGATTGAATGTCATTTTGTCCGAGATGCTATGCAGGATGGTGTGATCTCTCCCTCGTATGTGCCTACCACTTATCAACTGGCAGATATTTTCAGTAAATCTTTGGGGGAAAATCAGTTTCATTTCCTTCTACACAAGTTGGGCATTCTAGACCCTCATGCTCCAACTTGAGGGGGTATTACATCATCATCATCATCATCATCATCATCATCATCATCATCATCATTATTATTATTATTATTAATTTGTCATACGTACAATGATAATTGAGGCCTGTCTCAATTATTGTTTTAATCCTACCCCTTTAGACACTATATATGCATGAGTTCAGTGCATAATAATAGATGAGAAAACCTTCTGCTCTCCCTTGTCTTATACATATGTAGCATATCAATAATATCAACAGAACTCATGCGTGAGATAATTCAAGGAAGCGCAGGAATATGAGGAAGTAATGGTGACAATTTAATACTCCGTATGTAGTAAATTATACTCTCTCCGTTCTTTTTTATTAGTCCTCTTATGCTCTGTTTGGATAAAGTGCACTTAACTAAACTTAGTGCAATAAAGTAAACCTAAGTTTTAGTAAAAACTAGGTTAACCTAAGTGAACTCAGGTTCATGCGTAAAATGGCGTTTGGAAATAAATAAGGTGAACCTAGGTTAATGTCATAAATGTTGTTTGGATGAAGGTACTCTAGTTTATTTTATGTTGAACGAGAACTTAATCTCCAAAATCCCCCGATTCGGAGGTTCTTCAATTTGAGGTGTTTCCAGGTTCTCGGGAGTTAAGTGAAGCTAAGTCATAACCTAGGTTCTTGTTGTAAAAACACAAACAAACGAGGTTAACTTAATATTGAACCTCCAATAACCTAAGTTAACCCCTAAACAAACAGGTCATTAGGGTTTGGCACAGGTTTTAACAATAAAGTAGTAGGGTAAGTATAGAGTGTGTAGGATAAATGATAAAGTAGGAAAGACGGTACTAGTATATTAAAAAGAGTAAACTGATGATAACGGAGGAAAAAGAGTGTATTAAGAAGAGTAAAGTGATAGTAAAGTAGGAAAGAGAAAATAGTTTGTAAAAAGTAAGTGGGGTAAAAGTAATAAAAGTGAAGGTATTTTCTCAAAAACTTTCCTTAAAGGGAAAGGAGGACAAATAAAAGAAACGTTCCAAAAAGGAAAGAAGAGCTAATAAAAAAGAACGGAAAAGAAGGGCTAATAAAAAAGAACGGAGGGAGTACTTTAAAAAAGAACGGAGGGAGTACTTCGTATACGTATTATATCTTAGCTTAAGTAAAGATTATATCTTTGGAAGAATAATTGGAACCATTTTTGTACTTTAATTATGCATTTGCGGCTTCTAATTTGCCCTATTTCTCGAGTGTGAACTGCTAATTTAGCAAAACTCAAACTTTGGAATCAAAAGGTCACACTCACACCAGCACATAATATATAATTATATGTACACATGTTCTTCATGATATAATAGAGTAGATTATAATATGCTAGCTGATCAATAATTTTGCTTAGTAACTATTTAAAGATTTCCATAATGTTATTAGATGAGGCAGCTAGAGCTCTTCATGGGAATCACCATCATCATATTTTCCTTCCACATGCATGTTTCCCTTGATGACCTTCTCTTTTGTTTCCTGCACCGCCTCTCCCACCACGTGCGCCGCCGTTTTGGCCGACTCCTCTACCGCCTCTTTGCTCTTCCAAAAGCTCTTCTCAGCTGCCTCTTTCACCCTTTCTTTAGCTCCTCCTTCATGCTCCTTTCCTCCCATATTTAAGTCACCCTTTGTCCTAAAACTGCGCGTGTTCAAGTGTTCAACAAATACATCAATTTATAAAATTTTATTTTCAGGAAGATACGGAGTATTAAAACTCGAATATCAATAATTACTTGGTAAGGTTTTCCTGTTAGTTCCAAGAATTTAACTATACAATATTAAATTTTAATTCAATTCAAACAAGCAATTCATCTATTACTCCGTATTAAAAGAGCATCCCGCCATGTTCATATTAATGTGGGAGAACTACGAATTAGGCACTCGAACTTACATAAAAAGTACAAACCACCCCTTATATTGGAGACTCTGTCCGACCGTCTCTATTTGGTGCGGTTCCCGGTAGAATTTTTTGATGAATTTTTTTGAACATCTTATTCATTAAGTATAGTTTACTCACACCAAATTTCAGCTAAAAATCAACCGGGAAGGCAGTTAAATGATTTTCTGAAATATATTGCGCTGTTTAACTGCGCAGTTATGTTCAAAAATTCATTTGACTATCTTCCCCATTGAATTTGTAGCTGAAATTTGGTATGAGTAAACTAGACTTAATGAATAAGATGCTCAAAAAATTTCATCAAAAAAATCCACCTGGAACTGCCCCAAATGGCAACGGCCGGACAGAACCTCCTATATAAGGGGTAATTTGAACTTTTTATGTAAGTTGGAGGGCTTATTTGATAGTTCTCCCTATTAATTAATGGAGAACTCTTCTTGTCAGGCCGGCCTGACAGGAACCTTCGTCCGGCCGAGCCCGTTTGGGCACCTTCCCGGTGTAATTTTTTGATGAATTTTTTTGAGAATGTTCCTCATCAAGTCTAGTTTGTCCATACCAAATTTCAGCTCAAAATTCGATCGGGAAGGCATTCAAATCTTTTTTTGAAGTTGACTGTGTTTTTGTATGTATATTTTGACGCAGTCAACTTCAAAAAAATATTTGAATGCCTTCCCGATCGAATTTTGATCTGAAATTTGGTATGGATAAACTAGACTTGATGAGGAACATGCTCAAAAAATTTCTTCAAAAAATTCCAACGGGAAGGTCTCCAAAAGGACTCGGCCGGACGGCTCTCCCGGTCAGGCCGGCCTGACATGATGATTTCTCTTAATTAATGTACTCTAACAAGTCACTATCTTGTGAGTATTGTGAACCACATCTTTTTTTGGCCTGAAAAGTAAATATATTAAAAACACCCAAAAATAACATTATGCAATGTATAGTATATGAAAGTATGAATAGAAATTACTTCAAATAGGACTAAAACTATGGCAAAAACTCAAAATAGGACTTGCTATTTTTTATTCCAAAATAGGACCATAGTGGTCCTATTGGAAACATACCCATTTGTTCCTTCTATTCTTACCCCTCCTTTAAATAATAGTAAAAGATAGCTAAAAGTCATAATTAAATGTTTAATTCATAATAAATTCAAAAAAAATTCAATAATTCGTAGAAAAATAAAAAAAAATTAATAAAAATTTTATAAAATAAAAAATAAGAATTATTTTTTAAATTTTTTTTGAAAAATAATAAAAATAGTAAAACTCCATAAAAAAAATTAAAAAAAATATGGATACCTTTCCCACCGCCTGTACTACCTCCCTAAACCACCACCTCCGATCGGTGTAAAATGCCACTTCTTTTTAAATTCCACAAAAATGTCATATTTCTCTATGAGAATGCCAACATTTTCATTCTGCCAACATGAATCCTCTTGACTTTTGCCAAAAATATGGCATTCATAATTTTTTTGGCATTTTTTACCCCGGTGACAGGAGGTGTTGGTACCGCCTCTCTGCACCACCACCTCCGACCGTTAAAAAAATGTCATATTTCCTACAAACTTCCATTTTTTCGGAAAATGCCAAAAATATGGCATATTTCTCTTTGACAATGCAAACATTTTTTCTTCCATCTTAAATCATTCTGAATTATGCCAAAAATATGGAATTCATAATAAATTTGGCATTTTTTCCCCAAATGACTAGAGGTGGTGGTGTTGGGGCGGCGGTGACAAAAAAAAATTGATTTTTTCTTAAAATTTTTTAATTTTTTTTTTAATTTTTTTTTAAAAATTAATTATTATTCAAAATATTTTTATTAATTTTTTGGTATATTTTACGAATTTTTATTATTTTTTATTATTTTATTATGAATTAAAACATTCCAATAGGTACAAGGGTATATTTGTCCAAGACACACATAATTAGTCCTATGGAAACATAGTTTATTTTTTGGTACTATTTGTGCAAAGTGAATGACTTTTAGTCCTATTTTGATAATTAACTCAAGTATGAAACGTTTCGAGATTTAGTCTCGAATTTTTGTGTTGGCCCGTTAGTACTCCTACAATATAAATTATACTTGCGTGTTGATTATTTCGTGTAATCAATAACTTTATCCATATCAGAGGTGGGTCCTAGAGGGGAGGGGGGACTAGGCCGAAAAATAATGAAAAAAACTAGGCCCAAATTTAGTTCTTTATAGTAGGTGTGAGTAGTTTAGGCTGATTTTTCAGCCTTAAACTAATAATCTTTTGATGGAGATTTATGAGAATATTCTCTACGAAATTTAGATAACGCCCACGAAGTTTCAGTTTAAAATTCAATCTTGAAGTCATTTTAATAAATTATTTAAAAACAATGTTTTATGCATGATTTGGCGCAGTGTTTTCGATAATGTATTTAACTGACTTCCTGATTAAATTTTAAATTGACATTTTGTGGACATAATCTACACTTGTCGAAAAACATGGTCACAAAAATTTATAAAAAATTCCACTTGGAAGGAGATTATTCATAGTTGATTGTTATATTTCTTAATTCTTGATTGTTATCTATTGAGTGTTGGTTTTGTAATTTGTTGATTTTGTTAGAAAAAAAATTATTAAACATAATAAATTTATAAATTTAATTAATTCCAAAGTGTAATAAAAATGATTGAAACTAAATAGGATAAAGAAAAAATAGCAGAAGATTAGAGAGAGAAGTGCTTAGTAAAAAAAGTTCAATGGAAAGGTTTGTTTGTGTACAGAAGTCAAATTCTGAATGTCGAGATGAGAACTCAGAGAAGAAGAATGATTTAGCTATTCACAATGAAACGATTCAGAATGATCAAATCATTGGAGGGAGGATTTAGGAGTTTACACTAAAAGAGTTAGGGGGTGTTTGGAACTGATTCTGCTTCTGCTTCTGTTTTAAACCATAAGCAGAAGCAGGAGCAGTTTTCAGAAGCTGGTCTCCCCCAACTTCTAAAAAAATTGATTCTAGGAATAAATTAGAGCACCAGAATCACTTCTGCACTTTCACCCAAACACTTCAACTTCTGTTTCCACTCCCTGAAAGAGCAAAAGCAGTTTTAAGAATCAGATCCAAACACTCCCTTAATTCTCTACATAGGACAAAGACATTGGTAAAGTTCACAAATAGGACCATCAATATTTCCTTCCTAATAAGGAATGGAATGACCATTGCCAAGAAGAATACGGTGTTGAGAGCCATTATTAGAATAAGATGTAAGAGTACCTTTTTGGACGTCATGTGAGATGTGGCACCCGAGTCCATGTACCATGTATTTTCCGGAAGTGTCAAAGTGCTCATGGCTGAACCAATATTCGTAGGGCTATTGGTGGCAGCATGGGCCTGCTGAGGGCGGAGGCCCAACTATCCTGGCAGATGATGTTTTTGTCATGTTGAAGAAGATTTGTTCCATGAGGCAGTGGAGTACGGGCAGGGTGGCGGTGTCCATGAGGCTGGAGGACGGAGGCAGTGTCCAAGGTACTCCATGAGGCAATGGGGTACATGCATATTTTTGTTGGGAAAAAACAATCCAATAGGATGATGTGTCACAACTATTGCGCAAGGAAATAATTTAATGGGCTCAAAGTCGGTCATGGAAAATTTAGCACAGAGTTGAGCATAATGGATTACCGAAAATGATCTATAGATGCCGTGAGAACTATATCATCGACAAAGAGGAGCAAATAAGCAATATGACCATCTATTTTTTTTACTCCATGGGGTCTGGGTGAGGGGGGCTGGGGGGAGCCTGGAGTAATCAGGGCTGAAACTCACTCCATTGAGTTTCAAACCCTCATGTGTCTAGCGGGTTTCGAACTCGAGACCTCCCACTAGGCACGGTAACCTCACAACCAGCTGGGATGAAATGCTTGGTTTATGACCATCTAAGTAATATTCATCACAGGGACGACGAACCAACTTTCACATCTTATTTTTAATATAAGAGCACCAAACTCATCATTCATGGCGGCTTTCCAGTACAGGTCACACAAGACGCGAAAAATGGTCATCAGAGACTATATTGTGGTAGAGGATATGAATAGGATAGAGGTGGGGAGAATTTTTTGAAGGTAAGTAGCCATTTCAACGGTGTAAGGCCAGAATTTGGGAGGGAGAGAGGCGTGAAGAAGAAGAAGTATTTGGGCAATAGTAGTAATTGTGTGAATGGCCCGTTCACTGTTACCATTTTGAAAAGAAGTGTAGGAGCAAGAAGAATGAAAATGTAAACTATGTTTAATACCAAAATTAAGAAAGATTTGGTTATAAATTCCACGGTCATTGTCCCATTGAAAAGTTTGTTAAAAGGGAATTAAATTGGGTTTTAATGTATGCATGAAAATGAACAAATATAGAGTAGATTTAAGATTCGTGTTGAATAGGATAAATCCATAAAAATCGTTAGAAATTATCCAATAAAAGTACATAATAGTGGTCTCTTGTAGTACTAAAATTGGTGAAGTCCATAATTCACTATGTATTATTTCAAAAGGAGAAGAAGTAGTAGATAGAGATGAGCCAAATGGGAGTTTAACATGCTTGCCCATTTGATATGAAGTACAAGATGAGCTAACAATTTTATTACAAATAATTACATGATTTGCTCTAACTCTACTAAAAATGAGATCGTCCGGATGTCCAAGACGATTGTGCCACACATTATTGGAGACAGACAAAAATCAGGATCTTGCATGAGATGAATGATAGGACTGGATCGTGACTGGCTATAAGTTGCCCGAACTATCACATCGCATGAGTGGTGGCCCCATGCAGAGTTTCTTCACAGAAAAACCAAACAGGTCAAACTCAATAGAAACATTATTATCAATGGTCAAATAGTGGACAAAACATAAATTTTTTACAAGAGGAGGAGCATGTAATGTGGGTCCCGATTGAGTAGGGAACAGTCTAGAGGGGGGGGGGTGAATAGACTGTTCTGAATTTCAAAATTTTCTCTAAGTCAGAGGTGACTTATCAGAGAAGGTCTGAAACAGGTGACAGAGAGGGTCGAATTCTGATGATCAGAACTGGGCCTGGCAGCGGATAAGGGTTCTGTCCGGGTAGCCTCACGCAGATACTAAGGCAAGTGCCCTTCTGATAACTCTGAGAACAAGATCTGCTGAACACAGAGTCCAAGTTCTTGGGAGTTATACAGTTAGATTCTAAAGTGCAGAATGTAAATGCATAAAGTAAATGACACCAGGGTTTTTATAGTGGTTCAAGGAACAACATGTTCCTCTAGTCCACTGTTCCATTAAGCTTGTAAAACAACAGTTACAACACCTTAGTCCTAGCACTTAAGAAGCACTCCTCGTCTTCTTAAAGCCTAGTTGTCACCCGGGATGCTCTTCCTGGCTTCCTGATGACTGGTCTCGTTTCACTGAGTCTCTTGAAGTATCTCCACTTCACTACTCCAGCTAATTTGAGACGTCCCCTCTTTTTCAAGAAGTAATTGATCGAAGATCAGTTTTTCTCCAACGTTTCTTCGTTATAAGAGATGTAGAGATGAGGTTCTTGAAGGTTTGAAGAACTGGAGGAACTTTGCTTTTTGTTGGAATGAAGGATGTGAAGATGCAATCTTTCCAAACGTAGGCTTTCCTTGTTCTGAGGAAGATGGAATTTGGATCTCAAGAAAGCTTGAATGTGAGAGCAGGGATTGTAGCAAAGTTGTCCTCGAATTTCTTCAAAGTGTATCTTTTATACTGAGGTTGTCTTCCCGTTGGAGGAGGAGACAACTGCATTAAATGCGCGTACTGTGGAGTTGACCGCTTGGACCCGCAAGGTTGGTAACTTGCTATTTTTGTAATATATTCTCCAGGATTTTCGGTCAATCATTTGCAATTACTCCACAGCATATCAGGCTCATTAAATGAGCATTAAATGCTTTCCTTTCGTGAAAAATCTTCTAGCCGTTAGGGAATTTCCCGTTAGTTTCACGGCCGTTGGAAGCAGCTTCGAAATCTTCTAAGTGTCCATCCAGGTCTGATGAGATTCTCTGATGGCACTCTGAAGTTGGGTTCTTATGAAGATTGATGTCGAACTCTGGTGCTTCTCTGAGTATCAGCTCTGGTAGTAGAGCTCTGATGCTTTCCTGAGGAGCAGCTCTGCTAGCAACTCTGATGCTTCTCTGAAGAGCAACTCTCATGAGAGAACCAGGAGGGTCTCTGACCAGTCGACTATGCTAATACTTACAAAGAAAAAATCTAATACAAGATTTCTAAAGGGGGTAGTCTAAATTACTAAATAACCTAGCATCATCAAAATCTAAGTACATTTATTCCTTACATGTAAGAAGTGAGATAAATATAATAGTGGGTGAGGAGGTGGAAAAGTTGTGTGATCATAACCTGAAATGGGAATGGAATGACCATTTCCAACAAGAATACGGTGTTGAGATCCATGATTAGAATAAGACGCAAGAGTACCTTTGTGAGACGTCATGTGAGATGTGACACTCGAGTCCATGTACCATGTATTGTCCGGTGGAATAAGCGTCAAAGTGCTCATGGCTTAATATATATTTGTAAGGCTGTTGGTGGCAACATGGGACTGCTGAGGGTGGGGCCCAAGTATCCCGGTAGAGGATGTGTGTCATGTTGAAGGAGAGTTGTTCCATGAGACAGTGGGGTACGGGTAGGGTGGCAGTGCCCAAGTGGCTGGAGGCAAGTATGCCAAAGGCAGCATGGGCCAGGGAACGGAGCCAGGTTGACTATTGGGACGTGCTTGAGCACTGTTGGCAGAAGAGGGGTCAGATAGCCTGGAACGACTCCAATGGTTGATTGCCCGACCGCGACCACGTGCAGGATGATTAGAAAAAGAGTAATCAGGCATGGGGGTCCTTGATGAACCAAAACTGCACCAGACGTGTTGATTTGGTGAGCTTTTTTATTTACTTCCAAAATAACCATGGAGCGAGATACGTAAAATGGAGGCAACAAATCTCATTGTTGAATAATGGATACAACAGTGTAATATTGCTCTGGGAGATCATGCACCATGTGAAGAACACGACGATGATTGGAGAATGGAGAATGTCTAACGCTAGCAAGTTGGTTAGAGAGAACTTTGACTCTTTGAGAGTCTTGCAATAGGTGGCAGCATTGGTAAAACTTTTCAATCGGGTGTTCGAAAAATCATTTTCAAGATGAACTGCACGGAAATTGGGATTATCTTAAAAACATATCAGCAAGCATGTCCTAGACCTGTTGAAGGAGATCAACGCTAAAAAATTATTAGCCTTGAGTTCAATAATTGTATGAAGGAGATCATGGGAAATCATCTCATAAATTAATTGCGGCACAATAGCATCAAGACGATGCCGCAAAATTTGGAATCAACATCAGAATTGTGAGCATCCATAAGCTAGTCTAGGGTGAGAGTATCTGATATGTCATCATCTGTGGGGATTTTGATGAGCTCAGTCCCGGCATAAAATTCAACATTTTTCATATGTAATGTGATTGGAACAAATTTTGTAATGTTGGAGACTGTGAGAGCAAGGTGAAATGCGGAAGCTTTGGTATAGGGAGGAGAATTGGGATTGGGTCGGAAGCACTTTGACGCTTACTTACCGGACAATACATTGTACATGGACTCACGTGCCACATCTCACATGACGTTCGAAAAAGGTACTCTTACACCTTATTCCAATAATGGCTCTCAACACCGTATTCTGGTTGGCAATGGTCATTCCATTCCTATTTTGGGTTATGGTCACACCACTTTTTCCACCCCCTCACCCACCATTATATTTATCTCAAGTCTTACATGTTCCTCCTCTTATAAATAATTTACTTTCTGCCTGCCGTTTCACCATTGATAATAATATTTCTATTGAGTTTGACCCGTTTGATTTTTCTGTGAAGGAACTCCGCACGGGGGCACCGCTCATACAATGTGATAGTTTGGGCAACTTATACCTAATCACGACCCAGTCCTGTCATTCATCTCATGCGCCATTCTGATTTTTGTCTGTCTCCAATAATGTGTGGCACAATTGTCTCGGACATCTGGGTGATCTCATTTTAGTAGAATTAGAGCAAATAATGTAATTCTTTGTAATAAGATTGTTAATCATCTTGTACTTCATGTCAAATGGGCAAAGCATGTTAAGCTCCCATATAGTTCATCTTTAACTACTACTTCTTTTCCTTTTGAAATAATACATAGTGATATATGGACTTGACCAATTTTAAGTACTACCGGACACCGTTATTATGTACTTTTCTTGAATGATTTCTCACGATTTTTATGGATTTATCTTATTGAACACGAACCTCAAATATACTCTATATTTGTACAGTTTCATGCATACATTAAAACTCAATTTAATTCCCTTATAAAAATGTTTCAATGTGACAATGGTTGTGAATTTGATGACCAATTATTTCTTCGTTTTGGTATTAAACATGGTTTACATTTTCATTTCTCTTGCTCCTACACTTCTCCTCAAAATGGCAAAAGTGAACAGGCCATTCGCATGAGTACTACTATTGCCCAAACACTACTTCTTCACGCCTCTATTCCTCCCAAATTCTGGCCTTACGCCATTCAAATGGCTACTTACCTTTAAAATTTTAATTATTTACCCTACTTATATCATCTACCACAAAACAGCCCCTTATGACCATTTTCGTGTCTTTCGTAACCCACAATGGAAAGCCACCATGAATGATGAGTTTGATGCTCTTATTAAAACCTCGATGTGGGAGTTGGTGTTGGGTGTGTTTCGGAAAATAAAGAAAATTAATTAAAATAAATTAATTAAGTAAAATGACGAAAGAAAAACAAGAAAAGAGATGGAGCAGAATTTGTCAAAGCTCGTGCTACGCACGATGTCCTTAAAACGTATTTGTTGCCTCCCACGGTGCTAGGAGCGTTGCAACAATAGTTTCCCAGGATACGATGACAACGAACTAATGTTTGAGCACACAAACAAGAGTTCCAACGAACGAGAACACAGTATGAACACAGGGGAAATTTTCGGAATGCTAGCAGTGTGTTTTTAGAGCTAAAACGTGTATGGATTTGTCTAAAATCGTCTGTTGTTGCAAACCACCTGCCAGCCCTTATATAGGAGGATTTGTTGTGTGTAAATGGTGAATTAATGGACCTGAACGTTGGACATCAATGACCAGTCCGTTGGGCATTGAATCGTCCATGAACTGTCCATTTAACGCTGCATTAAAAGATAAGAACGTTGGGCATTAATTGTTGAACGTTTCAGAAGTGCGACAGAAGACCTCCATCAGAACTCCCCGGGAGGGGTTCTGATCGGAGGCCAATCAGAAGACCCCAACTCTGATACGCGGCCATCAGAGTACCCCCAACTCTGATGGGCGGCCATCAGAATACCCCATCTCCGATGGGCTGCCATCAGAATACCCCATGAGGGGTTCTGCCATCAGAAATCAGAATACCCCATCTCTGATGGGCTGCCATCAGAATACCCCATGAGGGGTTCTGCCATCAGAACACCAACGAGGTGTTCTGATCCGTAGGCTTCTGTCCGAGCACTTCTGCCGCTGGGAAAAAATTAAACGCTTCGGGAAGAAAACAAAAATTAATCGTATCTCTTGAGAGATAGATTTTTGAACGACATTCGTGTCCGCAGGTCGCCCGCGCACGCAAGTCGCGGTTTTTCTTCTCCGAATTCGGGATTTGATTTGCACCCCCCCCCCCCCCCCTTCGCGCGTGAGAGAGCCTTTATCCTTAAGAATCTTAACTCCTCAAGGGGGGAGATCCCTTATAAAGGGTTGCAAATCCCTTGGGTTTTCCG